AAAGGAAAAACCTGAATAAAGTGCGAAGAAACATATGACAGAGATGCTTCTGTGCAGCAGCAATCACTGAATGGTTTGGTGAATATGAAAATAAGTTGAATAAGATGCTGCAGCCCTCACAGTCTCCTGATCTCATCCCAGCTGAACACCTGTGAAAGATTTTGGACCAACGTGTAAGACATTGCTCTCCAACACTGTGTTTGTCTTTAACCTGCTGCTCTCAGGTCTCTCTTGCAAAACAGCTCTTGATCTCAATGAGATGACTTGAATAAAGATTCAGTCTGTAAGATTTAGGGGGATTCAGTAGCGTCTGGCGGTGAGCTAAAACTTTTCCCGGTTAGAATTCCTTCAGTGTTCATGGTTCAGGACCTTTTCACCAGGAGCTGCATTATCTGCAGAGGTCTCTTTGTCTCCAAAAAACATACGGACCAGGTGATTAAAACCTGTTAGAAACACTAAATAAAGCAGTTTCATATTAGGAATGTTTTTCTGATGCTGTTTGGCAAGTCAGAGTTGGGTAGCTTGTTCACCACATGGTATTGTGTGCTCACCTATTTTCTCTGATAACTTAGGGCGCATTCACACCAGGATAGTCTGGGGGACTTAGTTCAGTAGGGTGGGGAATGCTGAAAAAATTCACACCTTCATTTGGTTCAGTTCGCTTTGACACTGCACTTTTTAAAGCGGACCAAACCGCCTGGACAATGTCACACAGTTACAACAGCTGCTCATTTGGGGGCAGTATTGCCCGAAATGACCCCTGACCAGGAAGAAAAAAAGCATGAGGAAGAAGAATACCCGGCTCATCGATTGGCCAGGACCGAAAACGGAAATCCATCCCCTTCGGTTGCAGACCTAAATATATTACTGTTGCAGTTTTTTTTTTCCTTGATGCAACACTGATCCGCCGACCAATTAAATCCACGTGCCGCGATCCTCTCGCTAAACAATTCAAAAACTGCTTCTCCTGGTTTGCGCTGTTGGCTTTGTGTTTTTTTCTACTCAAAATGCACTGCGCTCTACGTCACTTCCTCTCTTTAGTTCACTTCCTCTCTTTGGTTCGCTGGATAGTCTGTTTGTAATTCCCACTGTAAGCGAACCACACCAGGGTTCACTTGCAAGTGAACCGAGGCCCCCAGTTTTCAAGCAGACCAGGGTTCGCTCGTTTAGTCCGCACCAGTTCAAATGAGCGTTCACACCACTCCAAACGAACCAAACTATCTGTGGAAGCGTACCAGGGTTCGTTTAAAGTGGACCAAATAGCGCCAGTGTAAATGTGTCCTTAATCTGTGTTCATCTTTTTTGTGATCCAGACGTTTGAAGGTTGTTACTGGGAGCTGAATTATCCGCAGAGGTCTCCTCCTCTCCAAAACAAACAGACCCGATGATTTAAACCGGTAAAAACAGAACGAAGAAGTTTCACATTAAAAATCAGTGTTTCTTTGGGGACGGCTAGCCCTGGCACCTGCTTGCGTGTACTCACCTTTTTTTCTGATAACTTAACCTCCAGACATTCAGGAGAATTTTTGCCAGGAACCAAATTATCTGCTGATTATCCGTCTATTCCTCAGAACAAAAGGACCCGGTGATTTAACGCATAAAAACTTTGATTAAAGCAGTTTAACGTTTAAAAAAAAGAACAGTGTTTTTGCAGTGCTCTCGTCGCAGAGGGGCTGCTAATTACCATGGCCTATGCGAAAACGTGAAAACACAAATGGCCCTATCTAGAGCCAATATTGTGTTTGTCCATTCTGCAAACATGGTGGTGCAACATGGCAGCCTCCGTGGACAACGACCCACTCCATGTGTGCACATAAACAGCTCATTCTAAAGTAACGAAAACACTACACACTAAAGAAAACACTTATTATATTCATTTTCTGCCAATACATCCCCCTAAATCCTACACACTGGACCTTTAATTGAAGGTGGTATATTTAAATGAGGGAATATCTTGCAGAGGAATGGTGTTTATCCCTTCAATAGGCATGGCAAGGAGCCTGTAGTTTGTCACCCATCTGCACGTTGGAACTGGAGATGGAGTAAAATACAGATCACAGTGTAGGGTCCAGGATATAGGAAGGACCCCTTGAGAGGATTTCAGTTTATTGACTTCATGAGGATTGACTATCCGAATTAGAGGTATCATTTGGTGCTTCATCTCCCTCCCATACTGGAAACAAATAACCTCATTTGATGGTGCTCCTGCGGTCTGAACTGTACCTCTGTCTGGGGGTACATGAGGTAAAAAACAAAAAAACCCTGATGTAACCCCCGAGGGAGAGAGGATGATGAATTTAGATGCAGTGCGTCAGCAGTCAGAATTACAAAACTATGAGCACAGAGAGGAATAATATGGGTTCAAACGTGGGTTGGGCTGTGAGTGCGCACTCAGGTTGTGCCAGCGCAGAGCTAAAACAGTTAGGAGCTCAGGAGAGGGGTGAAGGAAGCATCGGTATGAAGAATCCTCCTGACTGGTTTTTATTTTCTGATCAATGAGAGTGAGTCACTATGGATCACCTCCCGCTGCATGGAAACCATCCAAGGAGGGTTTGTGCTCTGTGGACAAGGCTCAATCTCGATGTGCATAAATGTGGCCACCTACACACACATACACACTGCATCAGAGTGTTCAAGAAAATGTGTGTGAAGGTGAGAGAAGTGCACCTGTTAAGTGATAGACCTCAGCACAGTACGATGGCTGTGTGGGTTTGTGGTCTATAACGGATGTTTGACAGGCTGATGAGCTCTGGCACTCACACACTGCTTCCTCCACACATTCTCCCCTCCTCTGCCTGTCTTCTCATCTCTTTAGGCGGTGGGCGTAAACTCCCTCCTTTTCTTCCTAAACGCCGTCTTTCCATCTTCCACTGTTTCTCCCTCCCGCTCCTCCAATCCTTCTATGCATGTTGTTTTCACTGATTGCGAGTTTGACAGGTCTTCAGAGAGAGAAACGCAGAGGGAGAGGAATCAAACAATCTCCTCAATTAGACAGCCCACACAAACGTACGTCTGAACTCTATACCATCTTCATCAGTTGTCGCAGTTTTCATCTCTCAGTCGCAGACACCTTTGTTCCTGAGTTGAAAACACACTGTTCACAACAAAGGCAGAGAAAACCATTTAGCTTTGAAGAACAGAAAGCCGCGACAAGCTTTTAAGGTTTATTTGCATCGAGAGGAGGGAGTCTCTCTGCTTTTTCTGCCTTAATTGACCAGTTTGCCAGAAAATTTGCAAAGGCTACGCGGCGGCCACTGATGTGGGGGCATTCAGACTGCAAATGGATCTCTGACTGATTGTGTTATAAGATTTAATATAATCTCACATTTAAAAGGGATAAATTTTGGCAGTTTAAATGCAATTAACGGAGAGAGTGGAGGTGAGGAAGTTGCCGTTATGTTCCAGTGTTGTGCAATAATTACGCCCACTCACTGAAAATAAAGGGATTTCTGATGTAAGGAATAATAAGATTGCAGGTTTTGAACAGGAAGCAGCCTCTCTGGTCTTATGTCACCGAGCAGACTTTCAGCTGTCACTGAGAGTTGATGACTAAATGTCAAAGAAACACATAACCACACACACACACATTGAAAAGAGACAGCAGGCTTCAGAGGAAGAGAAAGAGAAAGTAAAACACAGGAAGCAAAGAGGCAGTGAGACAGTTAAAGTCCATACAGGGCCTCCGGACGGTCAACAATGGGATGAGTCAATACTGTAGTAATACTGTGGTGCACTGCAGCATACCTGGAGGGGCTCAGACCTGTTGATGCAATCAGTGGCTGATGTCTCCAGTTTTCTTTTTGCTCCCATCTGTCTCCTCTCCACTTGGCTGTCACCCTCTCTCACAGCCCCCTCTCTCCCATCTTTCCTCCCACAGCTCCTGCCGTCCTCTCCTCTCCCCTCCTCGCTCATTATGCTACGTCGCTGGGAAAAAGAAAACGCCGGTTCTGCAAAAGTCAGTTCTTGGAGATGAAGAAAAAAAAAATGTCAGCCTTATTTCCACAAGTCATTCACACCATCTCATTATGCTATTTTAGTCATGCTTTCCTTTGCACTTCTGTTTTTAGGGGATTTTTTATCTTGCTTGTATGTTGCCTGATTCTGTCTTATTTTATTTCACTGTAGAGCACACTGCATGTAATTTAATTTCACCATGTTGCTACAAACTTTATGCAATATTAGCTCAAGTATAAAAACAGGTTGACATTTGGGAGATTTTCATCAGACATCATCTATCTCCTCCTGTTTCTCCCATCCTCAGGAGCTCTTCCCTCCCTCCTTAATTCCTCCCCTCCTTCCTTCCATCTAATTCCCTCAATCATTTCCTCCATTTATCACTCCCTCTTCCTCCACATCCTCACTCTCCTCCTGCACCGTTGACCTGGGAGCCTCTGAGCCTGTTCTCTCAGCCATGGACATCATGACCATAAGCTGAGTCGCAAGGCTATTTATATTTGTTCCTAATGAGGTGAGATTTCTCTCCGCCATAGCAACGGTCTCTATGGATACCCTGCACTTGGATACCAGATCCCATCCTGTTTTAAATGTCTTATTATGGGCTGCGCCTTCCCCCGTGTATCGTAGCCTAATTAATTCTGAATTATCGCCCCTCTCTGTGTGAACGGCGCAGAAATGCCCTCAAATTACCGCCGAGCTGACGGCATCAGCACAAGTTTACATCAGGAACACAGATTAGAGTTGCACAGGTCAATTTGCAGCATCAAGTAGATCAATATTAAAGCACTTAGGCAGGCAACCTGATGCACCGTTCAGCTTTTTTTAATCCTCAACTTCTGCAACAAGCAGACGGGAGTGGAAGCCACTACAGGTGCTCTCATTATTTGATCTGAAGCACACACAGGAGGAGTAGCTATCTGTCCTCTGCGCCGTGCTGGAGCTGATGGGTGTGCTATTGATCAGGTCTGAGCCAAGTTGAGGAGCCGGCTGCAGCACAAGACCCAGGCAGCCGAGCTCAGATCATTAGAGGCGCTCTCTGCAGCTGGGGTCACACAGGTGTTGAGACCTGCCGTCTCATTTCCTGCCACAAAGTGAGACAACCAATCAATAACGCGAGTGAGCAACTTCTGGAGAAAGCCACAGCAGTGAGAACACACACATGCAGACACACACACAGTCACACACAAATTTATATAAGGATGGTCTGCTGTGTGTGCCTTTGTATTTACAGTAAGACTTGGAAATGTTCCCTCCTTTCTCCTGATGACAGACGCTCTGAGACAGCTGCATGCACATGTACTCACACAGGTACACACACAAACACACACACACACACACACAGACACAGCCTGACAGGTGCTGCATTGTTATGGCATGTCCAACTCTGGCAGCTTGTTTTTCCTCAGACCTCTCGCCCCTGTGTGATGACTCAGAGACGGGGAGATGAAAGGAGAGGCAGGGACAAGGGGGAGGAGAGGAGAGGAGAGGCGCACTCTGACAGGAGGGGATGGAGGGCCTGAGATGGTTTGAGCGTAAGAAGGTTAAGTAAATCATATCATTAATGCTATGTTAAGAGATTGCGTTGACCTCTGCTTGGCTGTCTGCATATGCAAGTGTGTGTGTATGTGTCTGGCCTTTGTCCCACTGAAGCAGGTGGCAGCAATGACGTCCGTCTCCTTCCCAGCAGCGCGCACACAAGCCCAACACACTCTCCCTCTGCTGCTCTGTGCTCTCCGGTGTCAGTCCCACCAGATCCTATCGTGCTTGAAATTCACTCATCATATCGGGTGGCCTCACTGTGCTGCTTGCTGACACAAGTGCGTGCACGCATGCAAAGACACCCACACACGCACGCACGCATGCACGCATGCAGGAACACAGCGCGGTGGACTGACTTGATTATACAAGCGGAGCAGCTCAACCTGACAGAGGAACAAGAACCAAAAAGGAAACACGAAAAGAATATAAAAGGCTTATTTGCCCGTGTTGTATAAGCATGTTTCATCTTCCCACTCTCGCCTACCCTCACCCACACAGGTTAGATCCAATAGCTAGTGCCAGGCCTCTCTATCTTGCAACACAAACATCTCCGTGTGAAGGAATATTGCAGTCGAGTTCTTTTTCATAATCTCTTCCCTCTACACCCACACATGCACATAGTGAGGGGGTGAGAGGGAGACGGGGGTAAAAAGGAGAGCTCGTAAAGGAAAATGAAAAGAGAAGAGGTGAGGGGGGGCGGAGAGGAAGAGAGAGGGAGAGAGAAGTGCTCATGAGAGCCAGGAGGTAGTTGTTATAGTAACTGAGTCTCTATACCTGTCAATCAGAGCTATTTCAGGCATCTCGCTTCTATGGAAAAAAAAGCAAAAGCCCTCACATACCAGGGCCAGAGAGCTGTTTCACTGAGGCAAAATTATCAGCCAACGCACATGCACTGATACTGGCAACTTGTGAGCAGATAGACTGATCAAATTAACACCATACATTAGATTTCAGCACAATGTCATTCTTACTTTTTAAAAAGATTCTCACGTTTCTGCTTCACAGCGCATGAAAGGAAGACGAAAAAGCAGAATGACAGCCGGAGCATCTGCACACTTTGCTGCACCAAAGAAGAGTTATCACAACCAGTGCTCTCAATTACAGCACAATGAAAGCACTACAAACAGGTGTATCGGAGCAGTGTTATCCAACCTGCTCAATTCAGTTGAGTTTTAACTGGATGATATTTACCACTATAAAGTGGATAATGTTTGAATATTCTTTTGTACAACTTGAACTGCCACTGATTTGGGAGGTTTGGTCTGCATTTGTTGTAGCTTGGCAGAAGCTAGACGAGCTGGATGATTTATCCACTGTGTTTAGCTATGTGTTTCAACTGTTATCAGCTCAATGTAATAAAAATTTTTTGCTTTAATATATTTCAACTATTTGTCCTCTACCCTTTTCACCATCTATTATTTACTTTTAGTCAATTACTTCAACTGTTTTTTCTTTATTTTACATAAATATCTTAATCTCCGGGCCAAACAATGAAGCCAATGCAAAAGTGCCAAAAACTGCAGTTCCAAAAATGGCCACTTGAGGCTGGCTCCAAAAGCAAGTCAATCCCCACAGACCCCCGTGTTAAAATGCCTCTGTCTCTGAGTCTCTGAGCTGAGAGGGAACTCCAGGGCGGAGCCAGCAGGGAAAAACACAACTGCACATATGCAGTCAGCTGCATACTGCGGAGGTAAACCCAGAAGCTAGAGACTTTTTGGTGTGTGCACCAGGCGAGCAACTCTAATGGAATGAATAGACGCCATCTTGCATTCATTCATTCATTTTTTATAACGGCTTATCCTGTTGGGGGTCAAGGTGGGTGCTAGAGCCTATCTCAGCTGACATTGATCAAGAGGCAGGGTACACCCTGGACAGGTCACCAGACTATCACAGAGCTGACACATAGAGACAGACAACCATTCACACTTTCACACCTACGGTCAATTTAGAGTCACCAATTAACCTGCATGTCTTTGGACTGTGGGAGGAAGCCGGAGTACCTGGAGAAAACCCACACTGACATGAGGACAACATGCAAACTCCACACAGAGGGGCTCCCACACCCTGGGTTTGAACCAGGGCAACGCTAACCACTGCACCACCGTGCTTCCATCTGGAATCTAGCTATTATTAAAATCTATGGTTAAAATGCCCAACTTTACACCAGAGATAAACATGTTTACGAACTAGAACAAAAAATGGTTTTTGTCTCTACAGCTGTTTTATCCCATCATGACAACTGCACAGGTGGTAAATTTTTAGATAACTCACTTGTTTGACTGTTACTAAAGTTATTTATATTTAAGGGCATGGCTGCTTAAAGTGACAGGTGGGTGTTGTCTTTGACGAGTCGCTACTATGGCATCAACACTGGTTAGGTAACGTGACCATGGCGTAAGCCCAGGTTTACAGAGCATAGAGAATGTAAAGGTATGTCATGCCATCTGAGACGGGGACGCCATCTGGGAAGTACGGAAAACCAGGGGCAATTGTAAAATCTTAAGTTGTGCCAATCATGAATGAGACAGAACCATGAAACTCATTATGCACATGGTCTGTGATGATCCCTCTCTGCCTGCCAAATGACAAACTGATGTCTCATACTTGTCAAGGTTTTTCTGCCAAGACTCATTTGTGAGGTAGCAAAGTAATTTTTTCACCCACCGTATTTTCCTCATTCTATCTTAACCTTTAAAGTCTACCAAATTAAATCTGTCTTGTTTTGATGGCCATTCTGTTGTCTAATATCTGATATCTTTGTCAAATGTTAGCTTAGTTGTTTCTAGTCAGTGGGGTAGCTTATTTCATGTGATACAGTTAAGCCATGGATGTATAAAGAGACCTGGATACAGAGCTCAAGGCATCGACAAAGCTTTCAAATTCCCCAGATCCCAATCTGATTGAGCATCTGTGGGACAAACCGGTACCCATGAGGTCCTTTGTCCGGGCCTCGACAGGTCAGAGCCAAGTCCGTTCTACGGGGGAGCCTCTGACCTGTCGAGGCCTGGACAAAGGACCTCTGGGGTTGTCCTGTGTAGTCTGGCACCAGGGAGTTGTCAACGGATCCTCTGAGTCCTGTTGGTTGCGAGGTAAGGTACCAGCATGCCCAATGGATGTTCCATAGGATTTGGATCTAGGGAATCTGAAGGCCAGGTTGACGCCTTGAGTTAAGTCAAGTCTGCTGAGCCATTCCTAAGCACTTTTTGTAGCACTGCCATCAGGGAGTGCCGTTGCCAATAGGAGGGTGTATTTGGTCTGTAATGTTATTTGGGTGGGTGCAACGTGGCAAGTGGCATCTACATAAATGCCATGATCCAATGTTTCTCAGAAGAGCATTGCATTGTGACAAAATGATCAGTGTTATTCACTTCACCTGCCAGTTGAACCATTTTGGCCCCATGCAACACTGAGCAACTTCATAGGAATAAACAGGCTCCCACCGTCTGTATTTTGATGTGTTCCCTATAAGCCTTGCTCTTACTACAATCCTTTCTGTCAGCGGGTATCAACTCCCAGGAAAATTAAGGCTTGATTCACAGCACAAAGAAGGTGCGTCAACTATTGCAGGAAGAGGATAATGATTTTGCTTTCCCCGGTAGCTATCACCATTAACCAGAGTATCAATGTAAATTATTTGCAATTACTATTCCCAGTGGTGGAAATGGCAGACAACTAGGTGCACTTGCGTTTCTTGAAGACGCTTCGCCTCTGATCTAAGAAGCTTCTTCAGTTCCATCTAACCCTATTGACACACATGATGGCCAGGTGGGTTAACGACTCACATGACCTTAACGGCTCTGTAAGGGTTCACATCCACACTGAGTTTAAAGCCTGCGACCCCGCACCAGTCATTTAGAACTAAAGATGCTTCTTGGATGAGAGGCGAGACATCTTCAAGAAACGCAAGCAAGTCCAGTTGCCTACAATATAGCACTTATGATTACCATGACCTGGATGAGTGAGAATCTTCACTGACAGGAAATGGTTTAACAACTGAAGTAAATGTAGAAAACAAATTGCAGTGTGTCCTGCGTTGTTGGTCGTTACTAGACTCTGAGGAAACCAGGAAGCAATCCGGTTGTCTTTGCAACAGCGGCGCCAACAATATTATCACTTCGAACAATGGTGGTGAGAGGGTGGGGTTTTTTGTTTCAAATGTACTGAGCTACTTCACAATCTTGACACATACTTCCTGGCAAATTCAGAACAGACCCTGGGGTACAAGCGCCTCTCGTTGGGCATTATTGTATGAGAGAATATGCTTCCTTAATCGGGTACTTCTGTGTAATTATCAACATCATAGCCAAAGAAAACCCTCTATTCAGCCCTATTGCGGACCAACACATGGTGAGGAGGAGAGAAAAGCGATGAGAGAAAAGAGTGGGGGAGTAAGAATAGTGTGAGCACCAATATAGCTGAGTGCTGAGTTTGGGAGCCATTAGGCAGAAGGTAATTAATACCTGTCACCGCAGTGCTCTGTTCGCTGCCTTTATTCTGTTTCAGACCAATTAAAATATGACACTCCTCCGGTGGAGAACGTCTTGTTAAAATTAAGCGCCTGAGACGCACAGACACCTTTGATAAACACATCCAGGGCTACAATTGGCTTTGGCAGCAACGGCATGCTATATAGATAGATCGAGAGGGAGAGAGACGAACATGGCTGTGTGTATGTGTTGTGTCACTTCCAATAGGAGATGGGAGCTGTTAGATCTGATTAAAAGTGTGTATCCTTCCTTGTGAGCTTCACTCTCAAACACACACACACACACACACATAGTGGAGACTGACGTGATGTTATGAGACGTTTATGAGCCAAGAGATACTGACCAGTGAAGACAACTCACTGCCAATGATTTGCGGCTTGGACAGCAAGGACAGAGGAATGGTAAGCAAAAACAGACGAGCCAGGGGAGAGGGAAAATAAATGGAGGGGAGAGCAGCTGAGGATATAAAAAGACAGGTGGTATACAGAAAAGGCTTAGAAGCAAAGGAACATATGATGAAGAGAGCCTGATAGGAAGGAAAACAAAGGATGGGACAGCGCTGGGGGAAAGTGAAGTGAAATATGGTGTTTTTTTTTTTTTTTGAAAGAGTCGAGCGGATAGGAACTCGAGAAGACAGATTAGACGGAGAGAAGAGAGGGGAAAATGGAGAGAGGTGGAGTGATGGATGCAGGCAGGGGACCAGCAGCTCTCTGCCAACATCTCCATGCATCCTTCCAGACATCACACTGCGCTGCCATCTGCCTCCCTGCCACACACACACACACACACATATACACACGAACACACACACAAGGAGGAGATATGTGAAATCATTAGCGTCTCCTGACACTGAATAAATATCTGGGGATGAAATCTGTCTGTGGAGAAATCACCCGCGGGGAAATATGATTGGATGAGATCACGACCTCGCTGGAGCGTAATTTGCATGTCATCTAAATGGGATCTGCCCCCAATGCTCGGGAGGTCAAAAGGCATCCGATTAGTCGGATGGCACAACTCACTCCCCGATTGGCTGAGAGGAGAAACAATGGCAGGTGAACTGCTGCTCGGTTGCCGGTCCCTCTGTGAGCTGCAGGACTGCCCTCTTCTGGCTGCTTTACAGATCTCCACAGTTTGATAAAAACACACACACACACAATTAAGACATCCGACGTGTAGAGACAGAGAAATTCTGGCTGGCAGTTGATGTTTTTTAATCACATTAGAGCTGAGGAATAAAAATAAACACAAAGAGCATGAGAGCGCAGCACACAGAGTGTCTCGGTTAACCACATATTTATACATATATTTATATAATTGAGCCATTTCTGCCACTTGTATAGCCTCTGATTGTAACACAGAAATAAACCAACATTCCCTGGGTGAGAGATAGAGAGAGAGAGAAGAGCGAAAGAAAAAAGAGAGCACAACTCTCAACCGTCATCATCTACATTAGAAAACCTACAGGCCATTCTTTTTTTATAGGTTTATACATCAGCGAGGCATCAGTATTCATTACAAAAATAGGAATATAGTTGATATAGAAGCACTGGGGGTTGATTGAGTGGGTGGGGCGGTGAGGATGTGGCTGTGCCCTCCCATCAGTGAAGCAATGACCACCCATCCGCCCACCCAACACATACACCCAAACCAGGAAACGAAGAGCCATCCTAGGATCCTGTGCGCCTCCGTTGAGTGTTGTACAGCAGTCCAGCCCAGACAAAGAGTCAGTTATCAGTGGAAACCAGTTAGGGTTTAAATTAAACAATTAGTAAACCATTAGAAAATAAGTACGTAAAAAAATAACCTTACAGATAGAAGAGGGGGTTAGTGCATTGATGCAAGTTGAGAT